CTGAAACTTACAGGAATATTTTATAATATAGAGAAAACTTGGGAAACGCCAATTATAGATTACATAAGAGCATTTAGAAACATGCAATTAAACTTAATCCTGCAGAGTACACGATGAGGAAGATGATGATGATGATAACAATGACTGAGCAACTGGCAAAGTATTCATAGAACAGTCTGAGTTTGAATTTCCTTGCTGATTTTTAAGACAGACTAAAATGTGTAATTGCTGAGAAAATATGCTGGGAGCGACCAAAAATGAATTTTCTTCAATTAGACCCACAGCTTCATCCTGGTCTTTTGGTGGGTTTACTCTTTGACCTTGAAGATGCAGGCAATATGTCCCTCCAAAATGTCAGTTGACATTCACTGTACTCCATGGTGTTTTATCCCAGAATACTGAACTCTAGATTTACATTTTCTTGAATTAGACAGCTACTTCAGGGGGGTGAGGGATAGGGCCACCTGCATAATTACATGCACATTAACAATAACTGACATGATGCAAGATATTCCCAGTCTACCTGTTTTCTAACTGATAAATAGATTCCAAAATTTGTCATTATTTATGTAAGATTTGAGGCTTTCACAGCGGTGACTATGAAGAAAGCAGTCTTCTGGGATTTGGCACCGTGTATATGTGGTGTTAACCGACGTTTCGGAGGAACGTATCGCCTCCATCTTCAGGGTAGAAGAAAAAATTAAGAAATCTGCAAGCGAAGAGACCGTGAGAACCGGTAAAAGCAGACTGGTGTGCCAAATCCCAGAAGACTGCTTTCTTCATAGTCATTTTTTACTTGTAGACAGAATATTGTTCTGGTACTGTGAGGGACGGCGCTAAAATATTTGCTGTCAAGCACAGATGGGGCATTTGGCTCTCTGGCTCTGTTTTCTCACTTCTTATTGTGACATGAAAGGGTAGTAAAGATGACCAACTGTGCTCACAAGAGCCTGCCACATGAATCCAGTTCAACCACCTCCCACCTCCAATTTCTCCAAGATCCATTTTAATATTATCTACATCTAGGTCCTTCTACTGGTTTCTTTCCTTCTGTCTTTCCCACCAAAGCCCTGTGTGCGTTCTTCTTCTCTCCCATGCATGTTACATGCCTTGCCCAGCTCCTCCAATTTCTCCAAGATCCATTTTAATATTATCTACATCTAGGTCCTTCTACTGGTTTCTTTCCTTCTGTCTTTCCCACCAAAGCCCTGTGTGCGTTCTTCTTCTCTCCCATGCATGTTACATGCCTTGCCCAGCTCCTCCAATTTCTCCAAGATCCATTTTAATATTATCTACATCTAGGTCCTTCTACTGGTTTCTTTCCTTCTGTCTTTCCCACCAAAGCCCTGTGTGCGTTCTTCTTCTCTCCCATGCATGGTACATGCCTTGCCCAGCTCCTCCTCCTCCACTTCATCATTCTACTCGTAATTACATTTGGTGAAGAGTACACATTATGAATCCCATCATTATGCAGTTCTCTCCAGCCTCCTATTCATCCTTTTTGGGTCCAAATATTCTTAGTTTTCTTTGTGTTCTTCCCAACAGATTTACATGTTATGTCACATTCAATTTCTATCCCTACTTTTATTCAAAGTTATTGTGTATTCTAAAGCAATACTGAACAGTGATGGCAATAAAGCATCTCGTTTTAGACCATTCTGAATAGGAAACATCAAACAAATGGTTACCTATATGCACATTACTATAAGTTCCATTTAAAAATATTTTAATAGCCCTACCTAATTTCTTTAGTATACCAAACTCAATCAGAATATGTAAGTTTTGAGGTTTTCATGGCGATGACTATGAAGAAAGTCGTCTTCTGGGATCTGGTGCCGTGTATTCTTTGTTTCAGCCGACATTTAGGAGGAACATATCACCTCCACTTCAGGGCAGAAGAATTGCGTTGCTACTGCTCTCTGTATTCGCAACGCAATTCACCTGCCCTGAAGATGGAGGCGATACATTCCTCCGAAACGTCGGCTGAAACAAAGAATACACGGCGCCAGATCCCAGAAGACGACTTTCTTCAATCAGAATACTTTACAATAATTTCCTCTTAACTAAATCATAGCCTTTCTTGAATTCTGTGAAAAGCTGATGTGCTGCCTCATTATAGTCCCATTTCTTTCTCCAGAGTCTGATGAATGCAAATATCTCACTAGTTGATCTATTATGTTTAAACACATGCTGATGCTCCCCAGAAATTTGATTTATGTATGGGTGTAATGTTGAGAAAAGAAGGTTACAATTTTACATGAAGTTGAATTCATCTCGCCATAAAAAATATACCACCACCAAAGAAAAAGAAAACAGGATAAGCCTACACACCTGAAGAAGGTATGGGTAACAGCAAGACTCCACATATTCTCATATTTTAGTATTAGACAGCGGAGAATGACACACTTGAGGAACAATCCTTCGATACTCACTGGCTAGGATACACAGGCATTGAACCTGTTCAGATCCCAGTGACTCTGCTGATGATCAAAACTCACAAGGTCTATTGAGCTGCTATGGCTTATTTGGATTAAGAGTGTTGCCTCTGACCCCTGTGCTCAGTTACAATAAGATTTTGAAAATGTGATTTTAATTCTTGTAGTAATTACTGATACATTAAAACTGCTATCATAATACATTAATGTCATGTCCCATTAACAGAACACACTTTATTTTCAAAATAAGTAAAAAGCAAACACTGGACAAATAATCTGTCAGATTCTTTGCTAGAATATTATAAAAATCTCAATTATGTAAAAAAATCAGGGTAAATATTTTTGGGAAGGGAGGGTTGATGGCATTTTATTAAGCACTCTAACTACATACAGTTAAAGATACCAAAAAACTGGAAACTCTAGAAGTGATAGAAGTTCTTCAAACAGTTCTGAGCAATGGTTCTTTTATAAAATAACTCAGCAGTTCTTATACAGGCACTAGCACTAGGAAGGCTAACTGATCATGAATGGCAAGACAACAAGGAGTTGAATTTCATAATAAAATGGACGACCATATGTTCACACGAAGACATATGAGTAAGGACGATGTATAATTGGAAGTTTCGTTGTACACTCAACTCCTGATTATCCGGGGGGCGGATAAACCGGTTTGCGGCTTAACCAGGGCTTTTTTGAGGCTTATATGTTGTTTAATATTCATTCACTTTTATTTCACATGATGAGTTGTAACACTATTTTCGCATTTTTTGGTCCCGTTATGCTAATACAATGTTCTAGGGTAGGGGTGAAAGAATGCAAGGATTTGTGGAAAGTTTCAAGGACAGATACACCGCCCCAGTTAGTCTCTTTGTATCGTTCTTCAAGTGCATTAGCAAAATGTCAGGGTGTAAATGGAAGCGTGTTGTGTTAAGTATTCAACAGAAACTTGAAATTATCAATCAGTTGGGAAAAAGAGGTGTAGTTAAACAATTAGCAATGCAATATGGTATTGGAGAACAAACTGTTTGTGATTTGAAAAAAAAAAGAATCAATTAATTTCCTTTGCTTCATCTTCTAATTCAAGCTGAATGAAGAAGAGAAAAACCACAAAAAAATCAACATATGATGATTTCGACAAAGCAATGCTGATCTGGTTTAATCAACTAAGGGCATAGGGAACAACAATAACAGGAGCAGTTTGTGCTAAACTAGTGAAATGCTACATTTGGAGCATGGCTTTGTATGGGGCTGAAACTTGGACACTTAGGGCAGTAGACCAGAAACACCTGGAAAGCTTCAAAATGTGGTGTTGGAGAAGGATGGAGAAGATCAGTTGGACCGATTATGTGAGAAATGAAGAAGTTTTATTTAGAGTCAGTGAGCAGAGGAATATCCTACATGAAATAAGAAAATGGAAGGCTAATTGGATTGGTCATATCTTACGCAGTAACTGCCTTCTAAAAGAAGTTGTTGAAGGAAAGACAGAGGGGCGGATAGAAGTGACCAAATGACGAGGAAGAAGACGTAAGAAGATGCTGGATGACCTTGGGGACAGAAGAGGATATTCTCATTTGAAGGAAAAAGCTCTAGATCGCATTAAGTGGAGGAACTGTTTTGGAAGAGACTGCGGACCTGTCGTCTTGACAGATTACTGATGAAGATGATTTGTGCTAAACAAGCGAAACTTGTTTCCGAAGCACTTGAACTACAAGGAAGTTTTGATGCTTCTTTCGGTTGGCTAACACATTTCAAGTCTTTTTCAATGTTAGATGCCATATACGAGATTTCAACAGCATGAGATACAGTAAAGCCATCTGTACTGAAGAATTCATGGAAGAAACTGATGCCTTTCATCACTAATGAAGATGACGAAATTCATGGATTCACTGGATTCAGTGAAAATGAGATAGCCATAGAATTGACAAAATTGGCTAACCAAGTTCATGGTGGTGAAGAAGTCAACGAGGAAAATACGTATAAGAGAGTGGTTTGACTGAGACTCGTGTGAGCTGGGTTTCAAAATGTTAAGCAACGATGAAATCGTAAGTTCAGTTGGGGTGCAGCCAGAAGAGCGGGAAGAAAGTGAGAATGAGGAAGAGGTGGACAGTGCTGCTAGTAAGAAAATATCACATGGTGCTGCTCCTAATCATTTGGAATCCTTACTAGACTATCTTGAGAGTGAAGAGAACAGTTTATTAAGTGACAAGCTAATATTACATAGGCTTCGTACGGATATCATTAAAAAGGAAAATGCCACGAAAAAGCAAACAACAATATTAATTTTTTTTAAGTGTTAAGTGTGAATATTCGTAAAAAGTGTTGGATGTTGTTGAACACTGTGATTGAAATAACTAATTCATACTTCAGTATAATGTAAATAAGTATTATGAAGGTACAGTATTACAGTACCACTTTTAATAAAATTTGTCTTAACCGGGTTTTTGATTAATCATGATTTCCATCCCCACCATTATCCCGGATAATCTAGAGCTGAGTGTACTTGCATTACTTCTAGAAGAAGTAAAGAAATATAAGACAGTTATGAAACCAAATATGAATCTTAAATAAAGTAAAACCTCTGTAGTTTTATAATCCTATCAATAAAAACAAAATTTACAGTACTTGTGAAATGGAAGTCACAGTTGTAACACTCACAAAAGAACACTAGTATTACACAGCCCCAAAATTTGAGCCCTTCAATTTCATCCTACGGAAGTTTCATTCTACATATCTCACAATTATGCTGCTTCTCTGCTCTGATAACCAGTAAAAATCTTGAAAGTGTTGTTGTATTAACTGAAATTACAAATTCTGAGCACATCATATAAACTGTAATCATCAGCCAATGAAGGAACTGGAATTAGCCCCTGCTGCATGACTCAAGCATGCATAATTTAAATGGCTTGTCAAAGTCACAGTAGAAAGCAACGCATTTTGTTATCTTACAGATTTTGTGTTACTATAGGTGGTCTCTTCAAAAATGTAAAACTGAGGTTTCCCTGTTCATCTTTTTTGTGGGCTTTAACCATTTGAAAATGACATCATGCAGCATATGAAAACCCATAATGCTCTTGCACCCATGTCACAACATGTACTGGAATGTATATGCCTGCTGGGGCCCTTCCAAATGGTAAATAAAAAAAAATAATAATAAAAAAAACTACATCTAGGTAATATCAAGGTTTAATCCAGAAAGTAAAAGCCAAAGTTGGCTCTTTAAGCTATTAAATAATGGACAGGTAAACTTCCAAAAGTTGGATCATTTGTAGGGTATGTCATTACATCACAAAAAGTTGAATGCAATTTATGTTTATGCAAGGAGGGATATAATTGTTGACTTACAATTTCACTCCAACTGCCATCATACCAGTTCACTTTAAAATGTCAAGAACATACTTGATGCATCACAGTCATATTGTTTCAAACAAAACAAAACAAACAAACAAACAAAAAATATTTGCACAGCCCAAGATCATTGTTAATTAAGTCTTGTTTCCACTTAATCTTCAATGGTTGCTGGTTGTCTTCTTCCATTACCCGCCTGCCATCCACCATTCACTTAATGTACAGAGCTACCAGTTCGTCTATTGACTAGACGTGAACATTAGTCAACAAGGAGATCATATGTCTAATGTAAATAATGCATAATAACATAACATAGCATAACATACAGCACATCACATTTCAGTGAGAAAGAATCTTCATTTAAGACTAAGAGTTCTAGTGGCACATCGTCAAAAACATTTCATTTAGTAACAGTTTTTATTCTATAATGCCAGTGATAGCATATTCAAGCTAGTTTCCCTCTTCTACACCATTTGGTTTCAAAATCTTACATCATGGCTTACATGGAACCAGCTTTTTGTACATTGCATCCCACACTTCACAGAATGCCACGGAAACAATGGTTGGCGGGCGGAATCAGAGCCAGGGCTGGATGGACTTGGAATCCATGGTGTCTCACCGAGCCATGGCTACCTCTAAGGAGATCAGCTGAATGCTCAGCCACTCCATATTTCATAAAAGCATGCTTTGACGCCGTGAACGTCCAGTCACTCCAGACTTTGGAAAGTTTGATGATCGGTAACCAGGATCTCTGCTCAGCTGAATTCCAGGAATTGTGAAGATGGACATTACTGTAAAAGTTCAGAGAGTTGGTATCACTAGATTAACCTATTCTAATTGTGTTGCCTTCAATTACAAACACTATTATTTCTTACCATCAGGAAGTTTATGAACACCAGGCCCAAGGGATCTGAAATAGGGCTGCTTCATAGCATCTGCTGCAGATACCCGCTTTTTGGCTTCGTACTGAAAATCAATATATGACATGGTCACAATACATACATTGCAGGCATTAGTACTCATACAGGTAACACAATACAAAAATTAATGACTTGAACTGAACAAGCACGTTTTATTTAATATACTTAACTGTTGGTATCTACCGAAGAGGCCTAAAACATATATGATGTGGGATGATCTAAATCTTAAAATATATTACAAACAATATTGTAAAGTATTATCAAAAGTGATTATTGCTGCAAAGAAATTACACTATAATAAAATTATTTCTAAATCCAATAATAAAATGAGAAGTACGTGGGAAATTATAAATGAGGAAAAAGGGAAAACAAAAAGGGGCAATTGTGTTCAATCTTTAATGATTGAAAACAAAGTAATAAGGAATCAGAACAAAATTGCAAATGCGTTTAATAAGTTTTTCATATCTATAGCTGATTCTACCATCCTAAATAAGAATGTATGTTCAAATCAGGAACTACCCACCCCAATTGACTACTTGATTGATTCATTTAACTTGCCAGTCAATAAGATGAAATGGCAATATGCCTCTATTCAAGAAATTACAAGAATTATTAAAATTTTAAAGACAAAAAATTCAACCGGATATGATGAAATCTCAAATAGAATCATAAAAGTAAGTCTGCCATTTATAGTCTCCCCTCTGACTTACATCTGTAATAAAATTCTCAGTACTGGTGTTTTCCCGGACAGACTGAAATATGCCACAGTTAAACCACTTTTTAAAAAAGGTGAAACTCAAAATATGGCCAATTACAGGCCCATATCACTGCTAACTTCCTTTTCTAAGATAATTGAGAAATTAATGTATGCAAGACTCATTAATCATATAGAGTCAAATAATATATTAGCACAGGAACAGTACGGTTTTAGGTCTCACTCCTCAACTGAACAGGCAGCTTTCTCGTTAATGAACAGTATCCTATCTGCAATGAATAATAAGTTAATGGTAGGAGGCTTATTCTGTGATCTACAGAAAGCATTTGACTGTGTCAACCACAAAATATTACTAGAAAAGTTAATATTTTATGGAATAGAAGGGAAATTTAAGTCACTTATAGAATCATATTTAATGGATAGATACCAAAGAGTTGTAATAGGAAACAAATTCGACAGTAGAAGCTTTTCCGAATGGGAGGTAATCAAATGTGGTGTACCTCAGGGATCTATCCTTGGCCCACTATTTTTTCTGTTTTACATTAATGACTTACCTTCAATAAGCAATAAGAAAAATAAAACAGTACTTTTTGCAGATGACACAAGTATTATAATAACTGACGTAAATAAATTAGAACTTGAAATTAATCTCAAACAAACTTTAAAAGATATTGACACATGGTTTAATGCTAATTTACTTGCTTTAAATTTTAAAAAATCTCAATATATTGAATTTCGTTCCAAGAATTGTTATAATATTACCCCAATGACCATAGATGATGAAATAAAATTACCAAAGGTGAAAGAAACTAAATTTCTAGGACTAATTATTGATGATACCATCACATGGAAACAGCATATTAACTATGTTATCAATAAAATTGCAAGGTCATGTTATGCGTTGAGAAACATAAAGCATTTTATCCCATTAGATACATTAAAGGTAATTTATTTTGCACACATTCACTCCATTTTAAGATATGGCATAATTTTCTGGGGTAACGCTTCCTATGCCAGCAATGTCTTTAGACTACAAAAGAAGGCTATGAGAATTATTGCAAATTTTGGTCCAAGAGAATCATGTAGACATCTATTTGAGAAATTCGAAATACTGTCATTCTATTCCCAATTCATATACTCATTGATTTTATTCACGATTAATAATGATCATCTTTTTAATGCTATTACCATGATTCATGAACATAAAACCCGAATCCATAATAATCTATATTTGCCTTCTGTGAACCTGACAAAGTATAGTCAGAGTGCATATGTAGCGGGTATTAAAGCCTTCAACCATTTACCTCAAACTTTAAAAGAGTTGACTTTGGATGTACCAAATTTTAAGAGAGCACTGAAGAGATTTTTACTTCATCACTCCTTTTATTCCATGAAAGAATACTACCAACAGAAATGGGTATAATGTGTAATGTAAGAGAACACACAGATCGTGACGACAAATGAACTGATATAGAAATATGTCATAAACTACAAATTACGTAATTATCCTGTTTTATTTGTCTTGATGGGTATTACATCTTGTATGATAGTTTGAAGAACATGTTTGAACAAGGGTCTGTTAACCATTTTATTATTACTGTGAAGTTTTGCATATGTGATCATGAATTATATTTTGGTGAAATATACACGGTATGTGTATGACTATGCATTGTAGCATGTTGGCTTGCGTGCTTTTGATTTCTGTTATTGACTAAGTTGCACCTGAAGTTGTCAACTATTTTTATGCTTATTTTATATTATATGACTAATCTACTGTTTTTGATTGTTTTAATAAGTGAATTTTGTATGATAAGTGTCTCTTTTATATGCATTTTAATTTGACGCACTTGATTAATGGAATGAGTAATGAATGAACGTCTTAATGGAAATTTTATTTTATTTTAGTCCATGATAAATCTTGATAAATTTCTTGATCATTGTTTAATGTGTATTATAAGTATTATAAGTTTACCTCATTTAATTGCAATATTACTGTATTATTGTATAGATACTATGTATTCTAACTTGACTTGTTCCATATCCTATGGTGTCTCACCTGTACTGGATTTACGGAATGTAAATAAATTCAATTCAATTCAATTCTTCAAAGTAATCAGAATTTAGTATTTCAGCATCAGTCATGCTAAGTGACACTATCCTTCAGAAAAAATACTAATATTTTCTATCTATGTATACCCAACTCAGTCAAGAGGGGGATACAACGAAATACTGAGTGCAAAACAAAATATAACCAGAAATAAAAACTTAACTGAATATGCAGAAATAATCAGTCCAAAAACTTAATGATATGATGAAGTTATAATCTATATACCCAGTGATGAAGCATGATAATGAACTCTGACCAACTTCAAGAAACAAAATATTATATAGATGAATAACGGCGTAATTCATCAGTCCATAATATAAAAATTGACCTTGTAATACTTAACCAAGGCTTGGCAACAGCATGACAGGGAAGCAAGGTTACACATACACATGCACACACACACACCCCTTTAAAATTAATCCCATACATTATCCTGAATAGGGCACTAAATATAATCTACAGTTTCGTAATTATTATATACTGTTTATACCTTGGTTAAACAAAGTCTTTTATAAAATGCATAAAAGTGGTTCAAATGAAATTTAATGATTACATTTCTGAACCTCCTTAAACAGAATTCCATATTAGTGTCACATGTTTTAGGAGCGACAATTATAAATCTTTTTTAATGGGATGCCAGTTTAATAATGGCAATTGTGGTATAACTGTACTAAAACAGCATTATCAATATTCATTTCTATGAGTGTTTCTTGGTGCATTCAAATTCTGCAGCATCGCATACTTGCATACACAATATGACTTGTCAAACAGCACACTCAGGCATACCTCTGTCATGTTAAGTGTAGGATCTACATATGAATGGAAAGTTCTTAAAATGCTGTGACCCTGTCGAGTATAACTACAAAGATATGAATGTGACTATGAAGTTTGGAACCAGAAAGGCTCACAAAGAAACAATTCCACAGAAACTGACATTTACATGTTATGATTTAACTTCTTCAGGATTGTTTACAACAGTGAAGAACACAGATAAAATAAAATCAACTATTCTCATGGACCTGCCAGAATGCAACAAAGAAGCTGTATTCTTGGAATCATTTTTCTCAGAAACACACAATGTTTCTGGATAAGGATCAGTGTTTTAAATCTTCCTGCAACACACTATACTATTTGTAGGAGACAGTTTGTAGTGTCAAATTTGTAAATCGTGTGACAATGACAACAAGATCCACAAGGATGTGCTGAATTCTACATGTACTGTAAACTTCTTTTTCTATTCAGCTATATCCACTCTGTCTTTTTAAAATCAGTGATAGAGGGCTCATATCAATTACAATTGCAAATAGTAATGAAGCTTACAAATCGTGATTACAATCAACCATCACTGCAAGATCCTTTTCATCACATTTCATGTAGTTATCTGTAATCTTAGAAATGAGTACCTGGAATATTCTTGGGGGTAAAGGGCACAACCCTATGGGCCTCCATGGCCTGTTACAGGGATACCTTTACTTGCTTATCTGTAATCTTGGTTATTCTCAATACAGTAAGAACTTACACACAGGAACTTTGACAGCAATTCAATGGCATCAGTATCCAGGCGGGGCGCCCTTGTCACGAGGGATTCAGGTGAGCACCTTGGGGATGAATATGCTGCTGCTAATCCACCCCAGGCATCTGCAGGTGGTGAGCCTAGCACTCGGAATATTAGCCGTAGCTCCTCCTCAACTGTTGAACCCGGGAACAATGGACGTCCACAGGCCATTTCATAAAATATGCAACCAACACCCCTAACAAGAAGTAATTTTTTAATATCAGTATCATTACACATAAAACTATTTCTTATCTATTAGTTTGTATTTACAATTCATGTCTTTCGATCGAAGTTCACATTTTCCATGTACCCCACCATATATTTTCATAAGGAGTTATCCTTATGGTTAAGTTCACTACTTATTCATTTATTCACAGGGGATATTACCAATTAAGTCTATCAGCCATGCCTGTTTTGGAAATATACTTTACCTTAACCCCATGTTTGGTCAAAGACCTTCTTACAATGTGACCACTGTGTAGTATAAATTGTTATGTGTCTGTTATTGAGAACAGGGCACAGCTCATATTTTTTGCACCACATGAAGCAGGTATACAGATTAAAGGCAAATTCAACTTGTTACTGCTACATTACTAAGGAGACCCTCATTTTTAAATGAGACAAAAATGCTAATATTATATTCAGTTAGCCCATTGGTATAAATACACCAGATATAATGCAAATTTTAAGTAAGTTGATATCTTTTGAAACGATGTTACTGTTTCTGTACACAGACTGGTTGCGTTATGAAAGCTGCACCAAAGTATTATGAAATTGGCCATTTTTTAACTAGTACCTAATCTGTGAAGCTTGGAAGTATGTACATTGTGTAACAGAATACAAAGAATCAGAGAAATACAGTTCTTTAAGACACTCTTACTGACAATGCTGTAACTCCTATTAAACAAAGAAGTTTCAATAAACACATGTAATTACAAAACTGCAGCATTATGAAAATTCAACACAAATGGTATTGCAACAGGTTTGATCAAAGTGTTGTCAGGCAACAGTTCTGTAAACATGGCCCAACAAGGAACAATAGATGTTTTCTATGTTGTCCGTGCCGAGCAGCAGTGGAACAATTCAACCCATTTCTAAGCAACGGCTCAGTAAACACACTTCCCATAAGTGGTGCCATCATCAACAATTGAGACAGTGTTTTCCGTGAGGTCTATGCTGAGTGCTTATAAGAGACGTGAATGCAGTGACAGAATTAGGAGGACACCCGTGTGGAGGTAGGGTCGAATACCTCCACCGTGACCCTGCGAGTCATAGGAGGTGACGAAAAGGGAAGTCTCAAATCTGAGACAGTAAAATATGGTCGCAAGTCCCAAGGGACTCAGGCACCAAGAACGACTGCACTGTCAACGGCCAGCAGCATATATAAAAGACAGACCCATCCTCTCATCAAAGAGGATGCCCCCCTCCAAAACAAGATCGTAAATGTAAAACAGTAACAAATATCTGGTCATGAGACCCAGATGGGGCTCAACACCAAGACTTACTGACTGAATGATGGTCAGTCGCAATATGACTTTGATTTTGACAGAATTAGTTCAGGGGCAGTTACAAGTCAGTGGAGGAGTCAGTTACTGGAGGAGTGAGAGCAGAAGAATTTTTAGGTCCAAGGTTCCAGAGTGACTGAAGACAAAATACCAAAAACACTTCATAGTTTTTTAATGTGCTAATTTCTTTGTTGAGATCCACTGCTAAGAGATGACTATTGGAAAACTGATAAACCTAGTGCGTGTGAAACGGTGGACTGAAATCAGCGATAGCTCTGTATTTAAGTGTGATTAAGAGAACTTGTAACCAAGGTGCTAATAAATCCAATCATCCAAACTAGAACCTGCTATTTTTGTTATGTGTACCACCCTACATGTGACAGTATTATATGAAGGAACATTGTATTTACCCAAACATAAGAGGACATGTCATTGAAAATTACAACCAAAAATTAGTGACAGTAAATTAATAAATAAAGGGAAAACAGATGAAGTATCTTTATGAAATAATTCTTTCCAAAATTAGATCATACAGTAGTTTCAGTAAAATAATCATTAAACAAAAGCAAATTTCATAAATGTTACCTTCAGGCCACATTACAGTTCCCAGAGCCCTGACACAGCACTGTCATGGCACATTTTCCCACCACCCATTTGAAATTTGTGCTGGAAGTACAAGTAACTTAACTGTGCAAAATAACACATTTCTCCCTGCTGCAAATAATTGTTGGCACTTTCTAAGTAATGTTGCAAGTAGATTATCTTCATTTTTAGGTTACTAACTGAGCTGCATGAAGGAAATTATGAAATGAAACATGTTTGTGAATTGTAATGATATAAGAAAATCACTCTGCTAAAGCTTTCACTTCTTTGTGGTAGTGGAGATGAACTTATAGAACCAGAAGCAGAGTTTCCAGGTATTTCTGATTTCATGAACAACTTGAATTTGGAAAGAAAACACATTTGGGTAAATAGTCTATAAAATAATTAAACAAGACCAAAACAGGAAATAATGTCATAAAAATGCATACACATAATGTGTATGCACATTTCTTATCACACTAGCTTAAAAATTACAAGTTAACTTTCCCACAGAAACATACTTTATATTCCATATTCAAGATTCACTCTTACTCTCATTATCTCCACTAGTACTGTTCACTCTATGAGGGAGAGTCAGTAAACAGGTCACATATGGAAGTAAACCAGCTGTAATGGATGTAATAGGTTTTCTATGTGTATCGCTATATAGCAGCACAGTGCAACCTCATGACAGTCTAGGTAGCAGATACACATGCACATGTTCAGAGACCACAGTAGTCAAAATAGTAACCATGCTTGAGGATTGTCCTATCGAAGGGCAGCTTTCTGTTGTGTGCTTTTGTGAGCAAAAGGACTCAACGGAAAGGATATTCATAAAGAAATGTTTCTTGGTTATGATGGGAAGTGTTTGTCACATAAAGTGGTTCACAAATGGGTTGAGAAACATGGCAAATGTTTCACTGATGACAAAGACACTGCTGTTTTCTTCGATTTCAAAGGAATCATTCACAAGGAATTTCTGCCAGAAGGTCAAACACTGAATTCTGATTATTATCTCAGAGTCCTCAATCATTTGTGGGCGAGAATTCTTCAAATTTGACCTGAATATCGAGAGCAGGGTTCCTGGTCACTCCTCCACGACAATGCCCCACCCCACAAATCGAAGATCGTGCGCAATTTTTTGGCCAGAAAAGGGATAACAGTCCTGATCATCCTCCGTATTCACTAGATTTGGCTCCAGCAGATTTCTGGTTGTTCCCAAAAGTTAAGTTGGCGATGAAAGGAGACCATCATGACACCATCCAGGACATCAAACGGGAATCTACCACAGTTTTAAATGCAATTCCACAAAAGGAGTATAGTGACTGTTTTTGAAAAAATTTCAACTGATTCAGAAGGAGACTATTTTGAATAAGAAGAGTGAAATTTTGAAAATAATTCACATCTTGTATTTTTAATGAACACAGTCCTAACAGAACCTGGACACACTGTGTACAAGGGGGTACCCAAAAGAAACCGAACTTATTTATTCAAATTTTAAGCACAAACCTTCAATCCCCTTCAAAGTACTCTCCACTTACACTAATACACTTGTCTAGTCTTTTATTCCATTTTTCAAAACATTGTCTAAATTCATCTTTTGAGATGCTTGACAGAGCCTCCNTCATGTGTTCGGGCCGTGGAAGGACGACCAGAACAAGGTTTGTCAATTGACATTTCACCATTTTTGAAACTGGAAAACCACTCAATCACTTGAGTTTTCCCCATAGCATCGTCCTTGTACACCATTTTTAACATTTCACGAGTTTCTGTTCCACTTTTCCCGAGCAAAAAGCAGAATTTCACCGCCGCACGCTGTTCACGAAAATCAGCCATTGCAAAAACGACAATCACACAAAACAGTTGTCACTATAAACTCTGCTGAAACTAGTCCTTACTTTCTGAAGCAGCGGTAGTCGGCTTATGGACTCAGGAATGTTAGCTCTATGCGCTCATAGCAGCAAAACGCAGTACTACAAAAGCTCTGCCCACAAAAAAATTAGTTCGTTTTCTTTTGGGTACACCATCGTATATCTGCCTTATACTCTCCTGCTCTAATTTACTTGTAAACACTGATTCTGGAAGGGTCATTATCACTGGCAGAGGACATGGTTCATCATATCTTATCCCTGTCATCATTCTGCCACAATACACCATTCTCATTTACTTATGGTCATTTCGGGGATAGTAGTATCTGAATGAGTCAGAACGAAGGCCAAAATATGTAAGGGGTTCTTTCTATGTTTGTAGATGGGACAGTAGTGGTGTAAATGGTGTGAGGAGGGAGAACACTTGTAACAGCCAGAACATCAGGCCATTTTGTATTATGCTAGTGGGAAAATGACAGAAAGTAACAGTCTTTCACTGCTTTTTCTTTTTGGTTGAATGGTGAGTGTTAATTATGGGGGGGGGGTTAGGGAGATACAGACAACCATCTGAAGAATCAGTCCCTAACCTCCTACATATATTATGGTAATGGGAAAAATGACAAAAAGAAACAAAAGCTTGAAGTGAGGGGTGTGAACCACTGAACTCGCTGATTTTCTTAGGCACGGAACTGTCTATGCTGGTGGGCAAGAGCAGAATAGAGGTATTCTCAAAATAATATAACTCCTCATAAAGGCATTAATTTTGAGGATTATAAGACACTTAAAAGCAGCTCATTTTGGAGAATGACTCTGATGAAGTGATCTCATCTAACAGCAAAGTGAGCTTCATGAAGACAAAGTAGCAGTGGGTGATAAGAGTAATGCAAGCAGAAGCTGAGAAAGAAACAACATCCTTGGAATTATGGAGCTGCTGATCCTTTCATTTCTCAGTAGCCAGAGGATAAAAGAGGAATCCCACAAACACACTACACAGATTACAACATATTTACTGCTCTTTATTGAAGTGACTCAACTAGTGGTAGCAGAGATTAATAAATACTATGAGTGAAAAGTTATCCATGCACTTAATCACATAATAAGCACTATGCCATGAGGGTAAAAGGGAGGTATATCTCCACCATTCTTAACCTTGGTACTAGATGGAGGTGAGTGGTCAGCTTCATGCCTCTGCCACTTTACCCCACAAACAGAGCTCCCTGGTACCCTTTGAACATGAGGGTGGGTAGACCTTGGAGTAGGTCAGGGTTCCACAGTAAAGAGAAAAATTTCTTGCCTTGTCAGGAATCAAACCAAAGTCTTCCAGCCCACAGCCTAGTCACTTTACTGACTGAGCTATGAGTACAATGAACATTTAGACATTGACAACAGATTTTCTGGATTACCTGGATTCTGTATGACTATACAAAACGTGTTTCTTTTGTTTACAAAAATAAGAATGGTATGAAGTCATAGATATTCCGAAATTCAATACGTCCACACTTGACATTTCAGTTCTTCCTTTTACAGTAACATGACGAAACCTGACTGATCTGTACATATACTGAGATTTATATATAAATCAATGAAACAAGACTGACAAGAAACATGACAAACTGGAAAACTGTATCTCTCTTTGATAAGGTGACTAATATCTACACTAAAGTTTCTGAAGGGAGGGACTTTCAAGTAAACAAACATGAATATTTTGTTACAGAGATTTACAAATGGTATAACAAGACTGACTACTTAAAGATTTGAATGTACAGCTAGGGAAAAACAGGCAAAATGTACTGCAGACAGTGACAGCTTCACATGAGATAGTGGACAGAAATGATCTATGTTTAATAGATGTATCATTTTACCATCCCGTGGTACAAAAACAGACTATCAATAAGTCTGTCTGACTCTGGTTCAAAAGTGTTGGTCTGTCTATTGTAAATGTAACTGGAAACAATTTCCACAGTAGTAAGAAAGCAGTACCAGTACTACAGAATTCAGCAATTTATTTTCTTTCAAATGTTTTCACCACGATATTTTAGCAGTTACAGCTTTAAAGATGTGTTAGAAATACCATTCTTATTTAAAACCCTAGCAATTACATGCCCTATCCCCATATGATAAAGGTTACTGTTTGTTTGTGATAAGTAGTACAGTTATTTTTAGCCCATTTTCCTTCCTTAAGGAATGAAAGGTGGCTACTGGTATCACTATGCTGTCTTTTTTCCTCATTTTAACTTCTGAACCAGTTGACTAATTCTCACATTTGGAGTGGACATTATGCCATTTGAGGCAGCCTCAACTCAGCAGTATTTTTATGCAACCAGTAACAATAACACAGTGGATGTATAAACTTGTGAAGTGGTAGCAATATTAGTGCCACTTAATCTAGGGTCATGAAATGATGTATAGAAAGAAAACTCCAAAGAATACAGAACTTCCTTATAGGAATTGTGCAGAATGCAAAACAACGAAGTGGTGGCTGCATGGAATCCCTTTTTAACTGACTGTTTGATGGTGATAACTAAAGAACCCATCTGAGCTGGGCATATGAAATTTGCTATAGAGATAAACGGTAAACAGTACTAAAGATAGGGTTCAGATTGGTAATTGGATTCATTAATGACCTACAGGTCGTGACGACCTAACAGTGTTCCTGATTTTCACACTATAAAGCACTCCATGCTACTCTCTTCAGTCTATCTCCACTAGTCTTCATGGATTTATAACAAAAGAATTACAAAGGTCTCCCTAAATCACACACTTCCGGTATCAACATACTACTGCACACATAAAGTCTTCAAATCACATGTTGACTTCTTGTACTCTTCTGTACTCCTTAAGCTTACTGCTGGCTTGCTGCACTCCTCCAGCTTACTGATATCCTCTTGTTTGCATGCTTCTGCTCCTACTACCCACTCATAACTCTAACTGCCTTAAATGAATTCTGTCACTCTTACTTACATAGCCATGGAACAGACACGGACCTACAGTAAACACGTATCACATGATTGCTATCCAGCCAGTCTACTGGCACATCGGTCGGATCTACAGAAAACACAGCTTCCTCTATTGTTACATGTTGGACTAGTTAGTTAGTTATTTAGAGAGGGTGGGTTCCCCATGCACCTCGACCAGTTTGATCTATTGTGCTTCCCTCTATGATATTCTACCAGTCTCTTTACCCTACCGATAAATGGTGCGTACCATCAGTCCCACCGAGCAAGCGAGTTCGGCCACTTGCTTAGCGGTGTCTATAATGCTTCCCCCATCTATCAGAGGCCTTAGAGGCTACTGTTGGGCAGGAAACGTCCTGGAATTTGGCTCAGTGATCCCCTTTGGGGATATGAGGTTCTTTTACGTGCCGTAAAGTTACGACACGGGACACACAGCTTAAAGTCCCTCCCGGAGGACTTGTTCCCTGAATTTTTCTGCCCTTTAAAAATTCGACGACCTCCGCCAGGTATCTGAACCTGCGTACGAGTAATGAGGTGGGAACGTTACCTCTAGACTACAGAGGCCGCTTACTTGTTGGACTATGTTTATAAGAGTTGTTGCCTGGCAAAGCGTTGATCAAATCCATTACAATACATAAAAATTCTGTATGAAATTATAAACACAATGATAGCATGAAACTTTGTGGTTATGTCCAACAAATTTTAGGAAGGGGGACCCAAAAATAACCGGAAACGACCTGTTGTGCGCGCATGCTTTGTAGTTACGAGTTGTGCTGCTAAGTGGTGTTAGCTGGGGGTCTCCCGCGACTGTTAGTGAGCTGGCGTCAGTCTGAGTTAAGTGTTTGTCTGTGGTGCTCTGTTGTGTGCGTTCCTGTTTCAACCCTTTGGCGATTAGTGAGATGGCCGACCAGAAGGAACAAAGAGTGTGCGTGAAATTTTGCTTTCTGTTAGGGAAAACTGCACTTCACTCTTCAAGTCGCGGCAAACATTCATGCGGTTTTCTCTTTCATCATCTCCGAGCAAGCGAGGAACAAATTTTGCAGACACCCGTCTCATGTGCAAACCTTCGGTTAAAATTCGCTGGACCGTGCTCCATGAGATGTTCGTTTCCTCAGAAAGTTGATCAATGGTCCTTCGACAATCTTCA